AAGCTATTCAAAGTAAATGTGTTGCTGTCCCCTTCTTGGCAGGCGCCTCCATCTTTGTTTTATAGAAACACGGTTTCTCTAATGTTTCCGTCGCCCTTACTTCTCTTAATTTTCTGATATCTCTTTTGTTTTTTCTACCCTTCTCCAAAGTGTCACTGTTTCAAAGTAAGATATTTTATGGTCTAACTTTGTCATGATGGGTTCACTGAAAGCGACCCAAGAATGCAGAACACCACTGACGGACACCAGGATGAAAGTTTAACAGTTTTATTAATGCACAAGCACACTGAATATACTGGTTCAGGTTCGGGGCCTGGATTCTGGTTCACCGGAGTCTGCGTGAGAGACAGTTCAGTTACCGTTGCCAACAGAGGTTTGATTTCCAGACGTTCACTGATTGTACCTTGAGGGTTCTTGAGGTTAGCTTTGGGAGAGTCACTGTTGGTGCTAGAGAAGAGTTCATCAGCAGAGTCCGTAGCTGCTTCAGCGTCTCACGTCTAATTAGAACAGACCTTGGCTTTGGGTTTCCCAGCTCAAGTCCAGAGCTGCTTGGAGGTTCTCTGTGAGTCTTCAGGTTTGGCTCAGAGGGTCGGCTCGGCAGGTTAGCTCTTCCAGAGCTTTCACAGAGGAGGCACAGGTTTCCTGGAAAACAGACACAGGGGTTAGAATCCAAGCTGGATTCGAAAGTCATCGAATTACTCTGAGGATCTAGGCTTAAGCGCTGACCAACTGGAACAACACTGCGGCGTTGAGGCAAGGTCTGAAGACAGCTTAAGTAGTGGATCCTCTGATGATCTAGACGAGCTGCAGCTGTGCAGGAGGCTCCCTCAGAGGATCCACGGCGGACTCTGCTGGAGCAAGGTGGAATTTCTCCAGCTCCCAACAAACTTTTTTACAAGACAAAAACCTCCCAGGGAGTGCACACTTTTGAGAAACGTTTCCATTTAACCTGACTTGTTTTATTAGTATGTTGTAATAATGTGTTATTGTGAACACCTCCCACAAATCGATTTAGAGAATTAAACAAGCTCAGTTAGCATAACTTATTATTTTAATCAGCAGATTAAATAAAAAAGACTGATTAGCTAATGTTACATTGTCGCTAAGCAGTTAGCTTTAGAAACTAGCAGCAGGATGCTAATGTAACAACAGTAGCTTGAAAGATGCTTAATGTTTTCTGCCTTTTGTTTTCCATTTGAAACAGAAACTTTCCAATTTTAAATTGATGTCCATTTTTGTTTTGCTCATTTGCCCACTAATGTTTGCATTCCACAGAGGGCACTAGCATGCTAAAGATAAACCTAGCATAGACAGCTAGTATTTTCTTAGCACATGACTCCACAAGTAACATAGATTTTATTAGAATTACCAGACTTTGATAAGTTGTTCACTTTGATAATTATAAAACAATTACAAATAATTTAAGGTCACCTAATATAATTTATTTACTTTAGCTAATCTAGCTTGAGTGCTACAAAGGTAGCTTTAATGGATGGTAACAGGATGCTAATGTAAGAACTGCAGCTTATGGTTTTGATCTTTTTTTTTCTATCTTTTTTATTTTTTTAAGCTATATTATATTTTTTATAGTCTTTTTCAGCTGCCTCACTAACCTAATCTATCCATAGTACTAAATTATTAAACCAAGCTAGCTTAGCCAGCTCTTTTTTGCGCAAGATTAAATGAATTAAAACTACACTGTTTATATTTTCTATTGGGTAAAAATATGAATATAATATAAGTGTGGATAATCACTATAACTGGTAATATAATAATAAATGAACGATTAGGCTGTTAGTTTTGTCTTTATGCTGTTTTGTAGCTTTTTCAAGCACAAGTTGTCGACTGCAAGTTATTTGTTGGTCACAGATTATTAGGACAGTTTGTCTCCTGAATCAATCAAAATACTTTACAAAAAATAAATTAATATCCTATGGTTTAAGTAAATGGTCCAAAATTATGACGTAGTATTCGGACCAGGCTAGAGATTTTTTATTTTAAGAATAAAGTTGTAATATTACAAGAAAAGTTCTCATTCAACAACAAGTTTCAGAAAGAAAGCTTGGAGCTCCGCCCACCAGATGACGGCCGACCAGCTCCACCAATCAGCAACCAGAGTCCACTTTGGCATCCTGCCCAGTTTGATGCTGCTGCTAAAAGATTTCCTGATTGGTCAAACCGATGCTAAAGTTAACTTGACATGATGTTATACTCCTCATTTTTTAATTATACTCCTCAAGTTAAATTCCTCATTTTAGGGAAGAAAGTGCTTCTTCTAAGAGTTATCATAAAATACAACTTTATTATTCTAATATTAGGACTTTATTCTCGTCATTTTATGACTTTATTCTCGAAATGTTACGAATTTATTCTCATAAATTTACGACTTTATTCTTGAAATAGAAAAAATAAATCTCTAGCGCGGCCCTAATACGGCGTCGTTTAAAATGGTTTGTTTCCTGGTATCAAACTGAAATGCGTTTAATGGGCGTATGAAACGTAGAAATGTTAGCGGCAGATAAAACATTTCCAGAGGATTGATTCACTGAAATAGAAATGTTGCTAGCAGTTAGCTTCCTGATCTGCTAGCAGGATGCTACAGTAACAGCAATCGCTCAAAGATCTGTTAGAAGATGCTCCTTCCAGTTTTTTTATCTTTGTTAACAAATCTCCCAGTTTTGGTATTTTTGTCAGTTTTAGACTAATTTGATTCTTTTTCTTCCCATCTTTACAGTCATGGCGGATAGTTTATCTTCAAGCTATTATTAGCATAATGTGCCTATAGCAGCCAATAATAACCATTCAAACGTTAAATGATTTAAATAAGTTACTGTCAAAAAAATTTTGTGATAAAAAAGGTTCAAATGACAGAATTTGCTCCAAGAAGAATTAGCAAACCTGTTTTCTTGGATGAGAAAGTTTTAAAAATGAACCTGCTGAACCGTTATGTCCTGTAATCTCTGAAAACTGTTGGTTCGACTTTCTATCCTAATTTTATTCTACTTTATTCTCTTTTATAAGATCAGTTGGCTGTTAGCTGATAACCGTTGTTTTTTTTTTATTTAGTTTTAGTTTTGTTTTTCTCAGCTTTAAACCTGAACATTGCTTCTGCTTTTCCTTTTCTGATCTATGAGCTGCTGAAATCTACAGATTTCTCATTGGAGTCAAATAAGAGCAGAAGTCCTGATGTTTTTTTTTTGCAGCCTTTAACAGAAATATTTTACAGTAGCTCTTTTGGAAGCATCCTCTTGGTGTGAGTTTTCCTTTATGCCTGCAGTTTATATTTGTTAAGTGATCAATGTGTGTATCGATGGCTGTATGTCTGTAGAGCATGTTTGACACAATGAGAATGAAATGAAATGAGATGCATTGTGTTTCTGGTGCCAGAACCGATAATAAATCTGTTGGTTTTACCCTGATAACTGGTTTTTTTTTCACTACTTCAAAGGAAAGGCCACTTTTGATGTAAGAGATGAAAACTAATCAATCACACAATTAAATAATTCTATTCTTTTTCTCTTTTATAAATAGAAACTTTTCTCTAAAGGTGTAATTTCTGAGGAGAGAATGGGACTATGGGAGAGTAGGAATGAAGGACTGTTAGTATGATGGAAGAATTTTAATATTTTAAACATTTTATTTTTATTAAAATATTTTGAAAATACAAAAAGAAATTAAAATTCTCTTTCTTTTTATTTAGTAATTTGATCACAGGGTTCCCACAGGTCATAAAAAATCTTTAAAATTAATTCAATGAGGTTTTTAAATTAAGGCTTTAATTGCCATTAAAATGTATTAAATGTCATCATCATGGCATTAAAATGCTTTATTTAAAAAATAAAAATAAACTTTTAACGAGAGTCAATGGGCAAAGATTTTTGCGCCCTAGAGTGGAAATGCGTCACGAATCGGACTAAAAATGGAATTATGCCTTACTGTCATTAAAGATTAAATATTTTTTCTTGCACATCTAAAGTGTATATATACATATATTTTTAAATATTTTACCTTTTAATTTAAAATTAAATATAAAAATGTTTTTTTTTTTATGTCTGAATTATCATTGGGTGTGGGGCGACGCCCCAGCGCCCTCTATTGGCCAGCCGCCACTGCCTGGTTCTCTGATACAGATATATGAGCGAGTTATCTTACCAGACAGCCCTACTTGCCTTAGACTGATGATGATGATGATGATGATGAAGTCCCTCCTTCTCCGGGCGCCGATTTCACATCACGCCCAGTGACGCCCAATACTGGCGTAAAGCAATAAGGCTTCTGGGGGAACAGTGTGAGAGCAGGTCCCGTACGTCAGATACATCATTCACGTATTAGAGTTAATGTCTTAACCTTGCCTTCCCTCCAGATTAGAAACTGCCGCCATTCAGTCGGGACTCTGCTTATTTTCTGAGGCTTTTCTGATGGAATGGGTCAAACGGGGCTCATTAATCCAGTGTAGTCCTGTTTCTCTGACTGTGACTAACTGGATGTGCTGTCTTCATCCTCTGACATGGGAGCTGGCTCGGAGCTCGTCTGCCTGGCTGTGTGTTTCCTGGACGGGGCCGCCTGTGGAGCTGGTTGACAGTTGCCTTTTGTATCTATGTTTCTTTTTCTATGTCTGCTTCTGTCTCCTTGAACCCCAGTGGGCCTCAGCAGATGGCCGCTCACACTGAGCCTGGTTCTGCTGGAGGTTTCTTCCTGTTCAAAGGGAGTTTTTCCTCTCCACTGTCGCTACAAGCATGCTTAGTGTGAGGGATTGCTGAAGAGTCAATGAGTCGATGCAATCAGCTGGTTTTCCTTAGATAGAAAACTTTGAATCAATCTGACTGGATGATCTGGTGAACTGGAAAGTGACCTGAGATGACATGATGTAAATTGGAGCTATAGAAATAAACTGAATAGAATAGAATTGAATCAATCGCTTAGAGCTGCTTACAAACCTTTAAAAGTCAAGAGTCTGAAAAGTGATATTTGGTAGTCAATGACGACACGCATCACATGTCAACGGTTTGAAGACTTTAATGTTAGTTTGCACCAAGGGCTGAAAATAAATACCCACTCTGACAGAGAATAGTTTTAGCTTTAAGACAAAGTGTAAAACAAAAAGTGTGACATTTGATTTCTAACCTCATGTTGTGCTCGTTTAAAACAAGAAAACATTGTAAACACGGTAAAAATGTTTCAGGTTTATTTCAATAAACCAACAATTTCCTCTTTTTTTTTTTTTTTTTTACAAACAGGTCATTTTACCACAGTTTTAAAAAAGGCTGTTAGTAGAACACGGTTCAGTAAAAATCCCCTCTGTGCTTTAAAAATGATTTCCTCACTTTAAACGTGCTCAATAGAGATGGGAGTAAACTGGTAATCTGAATGTTTGGCACCGCCCCCCCAGATTAAATGTTCATATAATCTCCACCTCTGGAAGAACTCCTCTACAGACGGACGGACAGACAGACAGTTACATCGACGCAGCAGCAAAATAAAAACAAAGACGTCCCACAAAGACTTTATCTTTAAAAACAATACATGTATAAATAATCTCTCTTGTGATTGAGTTGAAAATAGCCGCGATCAAATCCCTCGGTATCCCACGGAGACGCTGTAAAACATCTTAGACAAAATACTGCAGATGCATTTGTTCCTTTACAGAAAATAAACGTGTCATCTGAATGTTTAAAGCTTATTTTATCTATCAGGCCACAGAAATTCCTGCTCCCAGAAACGGGTGAAAGAAAACAGCAGCTGGAGCCACAGGTGGGTGTAGTTCTCAACTTTAGCCAGCAGAGGGAGACATTCTTAGATGGAGTCCTGATTACGGGGCTAACCTGTACGTTTGGAGTCGTTTCATGGCAGAAACCACCGGAAGATAAAAAAATAACCTGTTTGCTACAAACCGAGCACCAAATTTCATCAAACATGTGAATGAATTCCAGTTTAAAGTGTTGAACGAATTCCCAGACGCGCGGGATGGTTTCCCACCGGATGAAGGTCGGCTCTGCTGTAGAGCTCCTGCTAAACTCCAATCCTCCTGAGAACCATCAGACGTTAGTCACGCTGCTTGGCGGATCGTTCGCTGGCAGCTCTTCCTCCTCGTCTTCGTCCGCACTCAGATCCAGCCGCAGGTTGTCCAGGGTCTGCCGGATGCTCAGGTTCTCCTTACGTCTGGTAGAAACACAGAAAGCTTCATTCATTTCACATTTCTCAGTCTGAAGCTGAAAAAAACCAACATATATTCTAATTTTCCTGTTTTTATCATGTTTAAACCACAAAACAGACATCTTAGAAACTGCGTTTTGTTTTAACAGTGTAATAATGATGGAGTCAGACAGGGAGGAAACCAGTGGCTACATCCAGTCGATTGGAGTTTAAATATCTAAAGTCCTTCATCCCACAGAGAGGCTTCCTAGAGATAAAGATGGCAGCATGCTGAGATACGCTGCTGAAGATTCTCAGTCATCCAGGTTATTTCAAAAAAGTCTGAAGACGTTTCTCTTCCATCCAGGAAGATTTTTCAATCCAAAATGTCAGAAATAGCGTTTAGTTCCAGGTTTTATCCAGCAGCCCAACAAAGCCTGGTTTTAGTTTAGAAAACATGCAAATAGAAACGGATGAACGGGTCGACCCCTTTGGAATGGGGGTCGTTTGGCTTCTTTGTTAGCCTGCAATGCCCCATACCTGTCTATGTCTCTACATGTGAAATCAGAATGAGAACTAAAAAAACAAAACAAAAAAAACTGATAAATTCAGCAGTAAAAATTAATATATTTGTTTTTATTTGTTTTGAAAAAACATTTAGCAGATGAAAACGAAAATTACTACCGTAACTACGGTTCTATGAATCCCGGATGACCGCCAGAGGTGGTGCTTCAAGCACTGAATGATCATTCATGCGCATGCGCAGGTCGAGTATTAATGACAACAAAGTCAGCTGTGACCTGCCGGGGACCCACGTGACTATATATAGTCACGTGGCACCCGGCAATCAATCCCTCAATCTTCTCGCGAATGCAGAGATTCCGAGGGACCAAGCACTCTGGCGGTCATCCGGGATTCATAGAACCGTAGTTACGGTAGTAACTTTCGTTCTATTTCATCCCTACTGACCGCCAGAGGTGGTGCTTCAAGCACTGGATGACTCATATCAACAAGGTCACGAGGAATCAGCAACATTCAAGGAACAACGACTACACCACCCACCTAATGTGATGTAGAGGCATGCTGCTCGAGGATTCCCTGAAGCGGATGGGGCGCAGCCACATTCACCCTGTAGAACCGAGTAAAGGTACTAGGTGATTTCCAGGAGGCCGCACGGCATATAACATCCAATGGCACCCCAGTCATAGCAGCAAACGATGTCGACATGCCCCTTGTAGAGTGGCATTTCACTCCCGCCGGCAGTGGCCGGTCCTGCAAGGCATAAGCCTTGGAGATCAAATCCACAACCCAGTGTGCAAGTCGCTGCTTAGAAAGTGCCTGACCCTTCCGTGAGCCAGCGTAGCAAACAAAAAGGCTATTTGTCTTCCGGAAGGATGCCGTGGCATTGATGTATGTCTCAAGGGCACGAACAGGACACAGTGGTTCAGAGGGACTTCCGGAGTCAAACCGGGCAAGATGGAGAGGCTGGGTGCTGCCTGCTGGCAGTGATACCTTAGGAATAAATGCTACGTCAGCCCACAGTGTAACGCCTGAGCCATCAGGATTCCACCGGCAGCAGGGTTCGGCTATCGAGAGAGCCTGTAACTCCCCTACACGTTTTGCAGAAACCATAGCTAAAAGGAACGCAGTCTTCAGTGAGAGCCATTTGAGGTCCGCCGACGCCAGGGGCTCAAATGGGAGGGACCGAAGAGCCTCAAGCACAAGAGAAAGGTCCCACGCCGGTGCCACAGGGCGGTTGGGTGGGTGCAAACGCCGAGCACCTCTTAAAAACAGTACAACATCCTTGTCTCGGCCCACAGAACAACCATTCAGCCCAACATGCCAACAGGAAATGGCAGCCACATACACCTTTAAGGTAGATGGAGACCGTCCTTGATCCAGCAATGCCTGCAGGAAGGTCAGTATGTCAGAAACTGAACACTGCACCGGGTCCTGCCCTCTATCATGGCACCAGGTCGCAAAGACCGTCCACTTGTAAGCATAGACAGCTCGCGTGGACGGCGCCCATGCATTAGCCATTGTATGCCCTATGGACCCAGTGTATCTTGAGAAGGTGGACCCCGGCCTTGCAGGGGCCCAATCCAGAGCTGGAGCCGGTCCGGTTCGGGGTGCAAGATCTGACCCCCCATCTGGGAAAGAAGATCTCTCCTGGAGGGGAGACGCATTGGCGAGCCGGAGCTGAGCTCGCACAGTAGAGGAAACCAAGTCCTCGCTGGCCAGTAGGGGGCCACCAGCAGGACCCTGTGCCCCTCCTGACGTACCCTGAGGAGAGTCTGAAAAAGTAGGCTGAATGGCGGAAAGGCATAAAGGAGGGTCCGGGGCCAGTCGTGTGCCAGAGCATCGTGGCCCAGAGGACTGCTGTTGTCCAACGAGAACCAAAGGGGACAGTGAAATGCGTCCCTTGAGGCAAAGAGGTCCACGTCCGCCCTGCCAAAGACCTTCCAGATGCACTCCACCACCTCTTGGTGAAGCTTCCACTCCCCTGGAAGCGGCTTCTGACGGGATAGAAAATCTGCTGGCACGTTCTCCGGCCCTGGGATGTAGGCTGCTCTGAGGCTGGCTATGCGTGGAGCTGCCCAGGTCAGAAGCCGTCGAGTCAAGCACAACAGTTTCCTTGACCTCGTTCCCCCCTGGTGGTTGATGTGAAAGACCACTGTGGTGTTGTCTGACCTCACAAGCACGTGCTTCCCCCGCAAGCCTGGAAGAAAGCTCTGAAGAGCCAGAAGTACAGCCTGTAACTCCAGGACATTGATGTGTTCCCTGCCCTGCCGCTGGGACCATGTCCCCTGTGCCATTTGACCCCGCCAGGTTGCACCCCAGCCCGTGGAGGATGCATCTGTAAACACAACTTCCCGACGACACGGGAGGGAACCAAGCGGGACCCCTGTGGTCATAAACAACCTCACCCTCCATTGGGACAGAGACTGAAGACACTAAGGCCCCACCCGAAGTCTTCGGAGACGATGAGTGTTCCGTGTGGGATCCAGATTCAAGCTGTTCAACCACATCTGGAGGGGCCGCAATGACAGCAGCCCCAAGGGCACTACGGCGGACGCAGCTGTAAGCATGCCCAAGAGTCGAAGATACCGCACAAGAAGCAGCGCCATGCCGCGCCTGAATTCCGGGAGCACGCTCAATATACTGTCCACCCGCTGGGGGGACGGGCAAGCAGTCATTGAGATGGAATCCATGGCAATGCCCAGGAAGACAGTCTCCTGTGAGGGAGTCAGACTGCTTTTCTCCATGTTCACCTGCAAGCCCAAGCATCCCACATGATGGAGCACTAACCGAGTATCTCGAACCGCCTGGTCCCACGTCGCAGCACAAATGAGCCAGTCGTCCAGATATGGGAGGATCCTCAATCCCTGTGCCTGCAGAGGAGAGAGGGCCGCTGCAACACATCGGGTGAACACCCTGGGGGACAGTGAAAGTCCGAACGGGAGGACCCTGAACTGGAAATGTCTCCCTTGAAAAGCAAAACGAAGAAACCGCCAATGGGGCGGAGCGATCGGAACGTGAAAATAAGCATCCCTGAGATCTATGGAAGTTAACCAATCGCCCGGGGAAATCGCCTGCAACACTTCCTTGGTGGTCAGCATATGAAAGGGCATGGCCTTCAAGTACACATTCAGGCCTCTGAGGTCCAAGACTGGACGCAGGCCCCCGGTCTTCTTCGGAACCAGAAAATACGTGGAATAAAAGCCTCCTGGATCCAGCAGGGGGTCCACAGGCACTATAGCACCCTTGGCCAGCAAGGTGCAGATTTCTTGGTTCAGTGCCTGTGCCTTCACCGGGTCGTGGATCACAGTCATCCTGACCGGGCCAGGGATAGGTGGCCGGCGGCGGAATTGAAGACGGTACCCCCGGGACAGGGTGGACAACACCCACAAGTCCGGGGTGTGGGCGGGGTGTGGGCAGCCCAGAAGCTGAGCTGTTCCGGGGAAAAATAACCGACCGCCGGCCCTAAGGCATCATCTGCGTGTCCCCCGGCCCTTCGAAGGCCCGGGAGGACGCCGGCCAGACTGCGCGGCTCGAAAGGGATGAAAGGACCTTGTCCCAGCCTGGTCTCGAGCTCTGTTCCTCCGATCTAGAGCAGGTCTCTGGACCGATCTCTGACCTGGTAACAGACCCTGGGGCTCAGTGGGAGAAGGAGAAGGCACTGAGGACCTCCGTGAAGGACCCGCAGCTGCCCAGGTGCTTACCGGCTGGCGATCACGTCTGTGAAGCCCTGCCAGCTGTTGCCTCGTTCTAGAGGCCTGAGCCGTACGGTCCAAGGCGTCCAGTGCCGCAGAACCAAAAAGCTCCCCCGGGACCACAGGCAGGGCCCGGAGGGTCCTCCTGCAAGGCTCAGTTAGTGGTGACTGCGCCAACCAGACCTGCCGGCGAGCATGAACCAGTGTGGAGAGTGTGCGTCCAAGTTCCCTCGTCATAAGAGCAAAGGCCTGCAGAGATGCATCAACCAGGCCTTGCGTGGCATGATCCAGCGGAACAGATTCCAAGGAGGAAGACAGGGCCAGCATAAGATGGGAGAGAGAGTTCCCAATCCGGTCCATGCGGGCCCCAGAGTCATAGGCCTTGCAGAGAAGGTCGTCGGTAATACGGCACTGAGGACGCGGACAACGGGCATTGGGCCGCAAGGCCTCATCAGGCGGGATTATAAGAGAGGCAATGCCCGGTTCCACCGCTGGCATCTGCCCTAAGCCAACCTTGGGTGCCTCCTGCATAGCTGCCAGGACCCTGCCATCCGTCGTCAGACGTGAAAACGCCTTGGTGTCTGACCAGCAAGCATGCAGTTCCCGCACATACTCCGCCAAGGGAGGAACCACAAAGGCAGTCTCTGACCTACTGCGCCTAAAGAAGGCGCTGGAAGCCGCAGGCTGGGCCTGAGGAACACTAATTTGTAAACGGGCAAGAGCCGTTCGAATAGCGGATGTCACAGACTCCCCCGTATCCTCCTGGGAGGCAATGGAGTCCGACCCAGAGGCCCCGGAGCCCAGCTCCGGAAGGTCCTCACAGAAATGGGTGCCAGAGGCCGCCACAGAAACAGCATCGTCGTCATTGACTGACGTTTCATCCTGCTCGGTAGGGAGAGCCGTGCCACGATCACCAGCAGTCTGAAAGGACTGGAGGAGGGCTTTCATTTGGGCCAGCTCAGTAGTGAGATGATCCACTCTCGTGGACAACCTCCTTGCATCGGTCCGTCTAGCACGCTTTGTCGGTACCGAAGGTGCAGCCACGGTAGATCGTTTGCACACCGCTTTCTCCATCGGCAAACGAGCACGCGGCGAAGCGCCCGCCCAGTCGGTAGGCTGCTCCAGTGCAGCCAACCGATCCAGTCTGACCGACCGGGGCATGACGCGACAGTTGGGGCAAGCGTCATCTGACAGCGCCTCCCGGAGATGTTCCACACCGAGGCAGGAGGGACACAAGTCATGCCCGTCATCGGGCTGAAGTGGAGCCAGACAGGTCGAGCAACATAAACTATCCAGCATCATACTGCTGAAAGGCGTGATCAGCCCGCTACCAAGGACAAGTCAACACGAGCAGGAAACGCTACTGGCGACTCGACTATTAACTAAAGATGAACTCAGCACGAGCAGAGACGCCACTGGTGAGTTTAGGCAAACAAACTATAGAAGAACCCAACGCGAGCGGAAACGCTACTGGTGGGCTTAGGCAAACAAACTGAAAACAACTCAGCGCGAGCAGAAACGCCACTGGTGAGTGTAGATAAACAAACTATAGAAGAACCCAACGCGAGCAGAAACGCTACTGGTGGGCTTAGGTAAACAAACTGAAAACAACTCAGCGCGAGCAGAAACGCTACCGTGAGTCAAAAGAGCCACAAAATTAACGTGGCAAATCAAAGCGAACAGTAAACTACTGCTGAGAAAAGAACGAAAATTTACCAGTCACCGCAGATCTGGTAAGGTGAAAGCAGCTTGTGCAGCCCCTGGAGGGCGAGACTTACCCGCAGCTCCGACCAAACCCGGTCACGGGGCTACCAGCAACAAGCAGCCAGGAAACTAGTGGTATACACAGAAGCAAGCAGCTTCACACGACCACACTCCTGTACTCAACACACCTGCGCGCGAGAAGAACAAAAGGGATTGATTGCCGGGTGCCACGTGACTATATAGAGTCACGTGGGTCCCCGGCAGGTCACAGCTGACTTTGTTGTCATTAATACTCGACCTGCGCATGCGCATGAATGATCATTCAGTGCTTGAAGCACCACCTCTGGCGGTCAGTAGGGATGAAATAGAACTAGCATCCTACCTCATTAGCACTGAAGCTATCACCTGTTTTAACAAAATAATTAGTAAAACTGAATATTTTCAAGAAAAAAATGAAATAGATCCAAAGGAGCTATCAGTAACCGTGTTCCAGCGCAGATCATCGTTAGAATTTCTTTGAGTATTATGTCTTCGGTAGAAACGGGGACCAGGACAGGATCTACAGGGGCCCTGGCCCCCGTTGGCCCCCATCTAGAACTGGCCATGCTGTTCCGCCTTACTTGCTCTGGAGGTGCTGGTCCATCAGCTGCCTCTGCAGGCGGCCGGTCGTCTCCCTCTCCTCGGTCAGCTCCCTCTGCAGGTGGCGGAACTGCGCCTCCTTCCTGGTGGCCTCCTCCTCCACCTCGTTGAGCTGCCGCTTCAGGGTCCGGATCCTCTGGTTCATCTGCAGGACCAGGAGAACCAGCTGGGTCAGTTCTGCCATTTCTTTTCGTTTTAAAGCGTGACTGATTTAAAAAGCGTGTGGAAGAACCAGGAAGCGGTTCATCTAGAAACCAGAGGGGTTCAGCGCTCTGCTGCCCCCAGTGGAGGAACCCTGCAGCAGCGTCTTACCAGCTCCTTCTGCTCGGTGGCGATCCGCTGCTCCTCCTCCATCTGGTCGTTCAGCTCGTTGATCTTCCTCTCCAGTTTACTGATGGTGTTGCTCAGATTTGCTTTGTTCCTGCAGAAACATGGAAGCAGCCATGACGCTCTGCAGGGCGTCTCAAACTCCGCGTGTCTGTCTGGAATCGGGCTCACCTCTCCTCCGCTCTCAGAGCGCTCTCCAGCTCCTTGGACCGGGTCTCGGCTCGGGAGACCACGTCCTCCTGGACCCTGGAGCTCTCCAGGTCCTCCACCTGCAGGCGAAGGTCTCTGATCTGCACGGACAGATCCAGACATTAATGCAGCTTCCATCATGCCAGCGGGGACGGCGAACACTGCCGACGCCTCTGGGAGGGTTACCTGTCTCTCCATGAAAGTCTTCTCCATCTCCAGCTGGTCGCTCAGATCTTTCTCCTGAATCAGCTTAAGCTGCAGCTGCTCGGTCTGAAAGCGGAGGCGGACAGGTTAAAGGCCCGGTTCTGGTCCAGATGGTTCTTCTCCTCGGCGAACATCTCCTACCTGCTCGATGGCCTTCTTCTGCTTGGCGGCCCACCGCCGCTCGCTGTCCTGCAGCTCCTCCAGTTCGCTCTCCAGGTCGATCAGCTTCTCCTGTTAGTGGTTAAAAACAAACTGCTTCAGTTTATTCTAGAAGTTACAGGAAGGGGTGTTTTCAGGGTAAAGCAGCTGATCGTTAAACAGGATTAGCCTCATTAATGCCTCATTAAGCCAAACTGATGGTTCACATTCTGATCAACTGGAGGCTCCTTCACGCAGTCAGGCTTTCATTCAGGGATAAAAACAAACTTTTTAAAGGAAATGTTCTTAAAATGGGAGATTAACTCAAATAATGTTTAAAGATTGTTAGTCTTCCGGTACCTGAGCGGTTTTCAGCTGCTTGGTCAGGTCGTCCTTGGTGTGGTTGGTGGCCTGCAGCTCCAGGGTCAGGTCGTCCACCGTCCTCTCCGCCTGCCGGACCTGCAGCTGCAGTCGCTCCCTCAGCTGGATCTCGTCCTCCAGGCTGCGCTCCTTATCGATCAGCTTTCCAGAGACCTGGACCCAGACAGAAACCCACGGAGAACCTGAAGCTCCGGCGGGACGGCCGCGCCCCCCCCCCCTGCTATGACCTCCACTGACCTCTCCCTGCAGTTTGCTGACTGTTAGCTCCAGCCTCTGGATCTCCTGGTCCTTCTCCAGAATCAGCTCCTCCAGCTCATCCACTCGGTTCTGGGCGTCCTCACGCAGCTTGTGCTGCAGGTTCAGTTCTGCCGAGCTCTGGGTGGAGATCTGCAGCGCCTCGCCGAGCTAAAAACATCCAGAAGATCAGCTGCTGTCCTGCAGGACCCGGAGCTGCACCCTGAGAACGCTCCTGTACCTCCTCCTCCAGCCTGAGGATGGTGCTGTTGAGATCAGCTGTCCTCTTGTCTCGGGTTTCTTTGTCCACCTCCATCTCCTCGATCTGCCTCTCTGCCAGCCACAGCTTCTCAGCCAGACCCTTGGCGTGCTGGTTCTGCTTCTCCATGTTCTCCTGCAGGAAACATCAGAGGAAAACATCAACCTTCTGCTTCCTTTTCCTGAAAACAAGCAGCGTCACATTCTCTGATCCTCAGACGCATCCGCCGGACGCTTCAATGGAAGCTTAACGTCCAGCTGATAGATGACCGCCAGCTGGGATCTAAGACGAATGGAGCCATTTCTCCTCTAGCCAGGGAGTAGCCAGGAGGCAGCCAGGAATCAGCCAGGAAGTAGCCAGGAGGCAGCCAGAAGGCAGCCAGGAAGCAGCCAGGAGGCAGCCAGGAAGTAGCCAGGGGGCAGCCAGGAGGCAGCCAGGAAGTAGCCAGGAGGCAGCCAGAAGGCAGCCAGGAGGCAGCCGGGAGGTAGCCAGGAGGCAGCCAGGAGGCAGCCAGGAAGCAGCCAGGAAGCAGCCAGGAAGTAGCCAGGAAGCAGCCAGGAAGTAGCCAGGAAGCAGCCAGGAAGCAGCCAGGAAGCAGCCAGGAAGCAGCCAGGAACCAGCCAGGAAGTAGCCAGGAAGTAGCCAGGAAGTAGCCAGGAAGCAGCCAGGAAGTAGCCAGGAGGCAGCCAGGAAGCAGCCAGGAAGTAGCCAGGAAGCAGCCAGGAAGTAGCCAGGAAGTAGCCAGGAAGTAGCCAGGAGGCAGCCAGAAGGCAGCCAGGAAGTAGCCAGGAAGTAGCCAGGAAGTAGCCAGGAAGCAGCCAGGAAGTAGCCAGGAAGCAGCCAGGAAGCAGCCAGGAAGTAGCCAGGAAGCAGCCAGGAAGTAGCCAGGAAGCAGCCAGGAAGCAGCCAGGAAGCAGCCAGGAAGCAGCCAGGAACCAGCCAGGAAGTAGCCAGGAAGTAGCCAGGAAGTAGCCAGGAAGTAGCCAGGAAGTAGCCAGGAGGCAGCCAGAAGGCAGCCAGGAAGCAGCCAGGAGGCAGCCAGGAAGTAGCCAGGGGGCAGCCAGGAGGCAGCCAGGAAGTAGCCAGGAGGCAGCCAGAAGGCAGCCAGGAGGCAGCCGGGAGGTAGCCAGGAGGCAGCCAGGAGGCAGCCAGGAAGCAGCCAGGAAGCAGCCAGGAAGTAGCCAGGAAGCAGCCAGGAAGTAGCCAGGAAGCAGCCAGGAAGCAGCCAGGAAGCAGCCAGGAAGCAGCCAGGAACCAGCCAGGAACCAGCCAGGAAGTAGCCAGGAAGTAGCCAGGAAGTAGCCAGGAAGCAGCCAGGAAGTAGCCAGGAGGCAGCCAGGAGGCAGCCAGGAAGCAGCCAGGAAGTAGCCAGGAAGCAGCCAGGAAGTAGCCAGGAAGTAGCCAGGAGGCAGCCAGAAGGCAGCCAGGAAGCAGCCAGCAGGCAGCCAGGAAGCAGCCAGGAGGCAGCCAGGAAGTAGCCAGGGGGCAGCCAGGAAGCAGCCAGGAGGCAGCCAGGAAGCAGCCCGGAAGTAGCCAGGAGGCAGCCAGGAGGCAGCCAGGAAGCAGCCAGGAGGCAGCCAGGAAGCAGCCCGGAAGTAGCCAGGAGGCAGCCAGGAAGCAGCCAGGAAGCAGCCAGGAAGCAGCCAGGAAGCAGCCAGGAGGCAGCCAGGAGGCAGCCAGGAGGCAGCCAGGAAGCAGCCCGGAAGTAGCCAAGAGGCAGCCAGGAGGCAGCCAGGAAGCAGCCAGGAAGCAGCCAGGAAGTAGCCAGGAAGCAGCCAGGAAGCAGCCAGGAGGCAGCCAGGAGGCAGCCAGAAGGCAGCCAGGAAGCAGCCAGGAAGCAGCCAGGAAGTAGCCAGGAAGTAGCCAGGAAGCAGCCAGGAAGTAGCCAGGAAGTAGCCAGAAGGCAGCCAGGAAGCAGCCAGGAGGCAGCCAGGAAGCAGCCAGGAAGCAGCCAGGAAGTAGCCAGGAAGCAGCCAGGAAGTAGCCAGGAAGCAGCCAGGAAGCAGCCAGGAAGTAGCCAGGAGGCAGCCAGAAGGCAGGCAGGAAGCAGCCAGGAGGCAGCCAGGAGCAGCTGCCAAGAGCTGTGAATGATTTTGGTGTGACCTAGAGACCTACCTCAGCATCCTGGATCTTGTTCTTCAGGGACTGCTGCAGGAAGTTGAAGGCGTACTCCTGATTGTTGGCCTCCACCATCATTTCTCGAGCTTGTCTCACCTCCATCTGCAAAAAAAAGGAGGAAACGTTGATCAGACTGGAACCCGCCTGCTCCTCGCTCCCCCGCTGTCTGACTCCTCACCTCCATCTGGATGTACTGCTCCTTCACGGCCTGGCTCTCCTTCTCCATCTCCATCATCTGCTCCCGGATCCTCTTCATCTCGTTGTTCAGCTGGGCGTTGGTCCTCAGCAGGTCCTCGTTGTTCACCAGCAGGGCGCGCATGTCGAACCTGCAGAGCAATGAGATGTTTGCTTCACATGGAGCTGAATTAAAGCCGTAAAGTCGCTTCAACAACGAAAAAAAAAACATTTTCATATAGAAAACATTTCAATAAATACTGTTTGGAAACTGAAACAAAAAAGATTAATAAAAAAAAAAGACATGAGGATGATGATGAGTTTAGGCAGCTGCTGCATTCAGGAACCGCTGGAATTAGAAGTGTCTGTTTATTGGATTGGTTTTGCTTCACTGTCGCCTCAAACACCTGGAAGTTTAGTTTTTTAAACTAATCCTTTAATAAATAACTTAAACTGTCCTGAAAGATTCCCAAACTACGGCTGCAGGGTCGTCGTATATAGAGGAGCGTCTAGCAGCCTGGAAACATTTAGCCAAGAACTTCATCCTAGATCCACCGACACGGACTTCCACTAACAGGAAGGATTAGGAGCAAAGATAAAAACTTCTTTGATGAAAATGCTTCCAGTCTGACCTGATCTGCTCCCTCTCTTTCTCCATCTCCACGCTCTCCGCCTCCAGGAAGTTGTTCCGCTGAAGGAAACAGAAAACATCGACGTTACCTTGAAGCCATCTTCAATCATCCTGGAGTGATTCTCTGCAGTCAGATCCAGTGTTTCTGAGATTTAGGCTTAGTCTTCAACACCAAATATAAAACTATTATTAGTTTTAATCTGTTTTAGGTTTCAAAGAAAAGAGAAGATTTACAATTTGTAATACCAACCAGATTCTTTCCCAGACTGACAGCTCTATCCTAGATGCTACAATAGCTGGGTATAGAATGCTGCCGTGCAGATCATCACTGCTGCTGGGCAGAAAACTTTGATTTATAGAATTCAAATGAACTTTTATGAATTAATGCCCTACTTTATAAAAAAATGTCTCACAAAATGTCCAATAAGGGAATAATTTTAGACATCCAAGGTTTCCATCCCAGAGACATTCCTGATCTACTATGAATTCTGCATTAAACACAGATCTATAAAATCTGCATTAGTCAGAAAAAGAAAAGAACAAAATTTTAACTTTATTTCTGATAATTAACCCCTCGGTTCCTGCTGCTCAGGGGTCAAAGCATATATATATATATATATATATATATATATATATATATATATATATATATATATATATATATATATATATTAGTGCTGTCAAAATTATCGCGTTATTAACGCGTTAACGCGAGGCCATTTTAACGGCGATAATTTTTTTAACGTGAGATTAACGCTATGTGGTTTTATGGTACAATTTTCCAAGTACATCCCGCTGCAGCCTGCGGGAAGGCGGGGCTATTTTCCCCCACTCTATGCATTTCTCACAGGCTTCAAGAGCGGAGCTCCTCAAGGGAAAAAGACGCTCATACACTGGATGACGCTAGTGCCTTTTCTTTAAGCCCCACCACCAACAAACAAATTGAGTGTCTGGTAACTAGTAGCAACCTGAAATACGCTGAGAAAACAGATTACTGAGGTGAAATGGAATCTGCTACGGCACTCTTGTTGTCTGTGTACGCAACAGGTCGGTATCGTGTGTGTGTGTGTGTGTCTGTGTGTGTGTGTGTGTGTGTGTGTGTGTGTGTGTGTACGTGTGTGTTCTCATTTTTGTTAAGAGGCTGAAAAGTAACTTTCTAGACTACCTCCATCTAGTGATGTCGGTCTATTGATTTTGATGTATTGATTGAAAATTGTTCATTATTATCTTGGTTAATTGACATCTAATGTTAACTCTACTACATTTTATAGCAGTAGGGTAAAATGCTTGTCTTTGTTCAAAAGACTGTATTAACTGTAAAGACTGTCTTTTACATCAGCCTGTTTTCAGGGCCTTTTTTTTGCCTACATATTTGTTATTTTTTGCTACATGCCTCCCCATCTTCTTGCCATATGTTTCTATGGCATAAATCAGTATCTGTGACCCGTTTTCATTTTTAAAAAAGAACATTGGCACAAACCTAGCCTGTATGTATTTCTTTGTATGTCATCGAGAGTATTTAAATGATTTTCAATCAGGAAAAAAATGTGCGATTAAAATGCGATTAATCGCGAGTTAACTCAGGCATTGATGCTATTAATCGCGATTAAAAAATTTAATCGATTGACAGCACTAATATATATATATATATATATATATATATATATATATATATGCTTATGTATAACTATAAATCCAGATAAAGAGATAATGACGTTATGCAAGGAATAACTATGGTACCAATATAGCAGTTTTGAGAATCAACTGGATGCAAACATTTTAATTGTTCTACATGAAATTCTGGATTAATGGTTTATTGGATTAAAATGTCCTCCATTAGAAGGAATAATGTCAGTGTAGCGCTGCTGCTGTCCACTAGAAGGCGCCATTGTTCCTTCATAGTCAGAGCCTCTCTGGTATTTGCAATAGAGGTAATCCCTCAGTGGATCAGTTCTAGAACAGAACCTTGAATGGATCCAGAGTCCGGTGTCAGACCAGCATACCTGTCAGACCAGCATACCTGTCAGACCAGCATACCCAGTCAGACCAGCATACCCTGTCAGACCAGCATACCCAGAGTTAACACCCATTTATCCCTTTAGTTTATTCCTTTAGTCACATACAAAAGAATGATTTACTTACTAACCTTTTGGTGTTTTTTAAGCGTATGTCGATCTGACATTAAATTGTGTTTTTTTTGTATGTGACTAAAGGGATTGACGTCCATTAGGTCGTTTAAAGTCTATTTTTCTAACAAAACTAAAGGGATAAACGCAAATCTGACGTTTTGCACACGCATGTTGACTATGGGTATGCTGGTCTGATGGGGTATGCTGGTCTGATGGGGTATGCTGGTCTGACAGAACTCCACTCCAGATTATTTCCTGTGTCTAATGGATCCCAGGATCCAGGATGAACTTCCTGTTAGTGAATCTAAACTCCTTGGATTCTCCTAAACGGCCCGTTTCCAGAGGAGTGGGTTTACCTTCTGACAGGCGTCCAGCTGCTTGGTCAGTTCTTCTATGAAGTCCTTCCTGTTTGGAGCTCCCAGCGTAGAGGACCGCATGCTGTAGTGAACCGGCGCCACCTGCAGGTGGAGAACAAACACTTAGAAGATGCTGCACCATCAGACCTGAATGGGGCCAGACCAGAACCTTCAAGCTGCAGCAGAACCTTCTACCTGCAGCAGAACCTTCTACCTGCACCAGAACCCTCTACCTGCAGCAGAACCTTTGACCTGCAGCAGAACCTTCAAGCTGCAGCAGAACCTTCGACCTGCAGCAGAACCTTCTACCTGCAGCAGAACATTCGACCTGCAGCAGAACCTTCTACCTGCAGCAGAACATTCGACCTGCAGCAGAACCTTCTACCTGCAGCAGAACCTTCTACCTGCAGCAGAACATTCGACCTGCAGCAGAACCTTCTACCTGCAGCAGAACCTTCTACCTGCAGCAGAACATTCGACCTGCAGCAGAACCTTCTACCTGCAGCAGAACCTTCTACCTGCACCAGAACCCTCTACCTGCAGCAGAACCTTTGACCTGCAGCAGAACCTTCAAGCTGCAGCAGAACCTTCGACCTGCAGCAGAACCTTCTACCTGCAGCAGAACATTCGACCTGCAGCAGAACCTTCTACCTGCAGCAGAACCTTCTACCTGCAGCAGAACCTTCTACCTGCAGCAGAACCTTCGACCTGCAGCAGAACCTTCGACCTGCAGCAGAACCTTCGACCTGCAGCAGAACCTTCGACCTGCAGCAGAACCTTCAAGCTGCAGCAGAACCTTCTACCTGCAGCAGAACCTTCGACCTGCAGCAGAACCTTCAAGCTGCAGCAGAACCTTCTACCTGCAGCAGAATCTTCGACCTGCAGCAGAACCTTCAAGCTGCTCGTTCTAAGGCCTGGTTTTGGGTTTGATAAAGTAAAGGAACTGAAGTAAGGGGCGTGGCTTAGAGAACCGTACTTTATGTGTGAGGGCGGGGTTCATGTCAGGCCTCCTCCTCAGTGTGTCGTAGGTGGAGAATCGGGTCCTGGAGGTGGTCGTCATGGAGCCGGAGATGCCGATGGGACTGGTGCTGCGACTGTTGAAGCTGTAGAGGTTGTGCTCTGAGGTGGCAGGAGAGAGTCCGCCCTGCCGCCGGAGGAAAGCATCCATCAGCATCCGTCCAAAAACGCCACATTCTTATAGGGAAACAGGAAGAGCTGCTAACCTTGAACTCAGACGCCCGGAACGGGGGGTGAAAATCCATGGAGAGGGTGTTGGAGTAGGGACTGTTGAACACCCTGGGGGGGCTGTCGATGGCGCCCACCTGAAACAGAGCAATAACCGTGAGGTTTGGCGTGGATCTGGGATCAAGCAGCACGGCGGCCATGAGCTCCATCAGCTGAATCAGACATGATTAATCAATTAAAAGGATGGATTGAAGCGAGGCGCTGTGCTCTGATTGGAAACGGTGAGACAGCCGGCGGACAAAGAAAAACCTTCAGTCTGTGTTTCTTCCAGCAGGCGGCGCTGTTCATTAACTGGAAAAGGAAAAATGACATTATGGTCATCCTGCTTGAAGCTTCGGTACCAAACGGGTCGGATCCTGAGGAGGTACCAGGCCCGTCAGGAGCTGCCCCAACTCTGAAGCTTATTTATAGAAATGTTAAACATAGAAAACATTTTTATTACATTTAGACCTGAACTCTATGGGGCGCCGTTTGTAAAAAATTAGGAGCAATCTTTAAGGTTATTTAGCGTGTTTTAAAATAAGGGGCTTATTTTCCTTCCAATTTAATTTTTTCACTAAGTCATTTATTCATTTATACAAATTTTACTTTGTTAAATAAATATTTAATTTAGGGCTAAATATTTAGTTTGCAAATTAAATATTTAGTTTTTTTAAATAAATATTTAGCTCCAAAATAAATATTTTTGCTAGCTTAGTGCTAGCTAAATATTTATTTAAAAAAACTAAATATTTAATTTGTAAACTAAATATTTAGTTTGCAAATTTAATATTTAATTTTTTTTAAATAAATATTTAGCTCCAAAATAAGTATTTTGTTAGCTTAGTGCTAGCTAAATATTTATTAAAAAAAAACTAAATATTTAATTTGTAAACTAAATATTTAGTTTGCAAATTAAATATTAAGTTTTTTTAAATAAATATTTAGCTCCAAAATAAATATTTAGCTAGCTTAGTGCTAGCTAAATATTTATTTAAAAAAACTAAATATTTAATTTGTAAACTATTTAGTTTGCAAATTAAATATTTAGTTTTTTTAAATAAATATTTAGCTCCAAAATAAATATTTTGCTAATTTAGTGCTAGCTAATTATTTATTTAAAAAAACTAAATATTTAATTTGTAAACTAAATATTTAGCTCCAAAATAAATATTTAGCTAGCATAGTGCTAGCTAAATATTTATTTAAAAAAACTAAATATTTAGTTTGCAAATATTTAATTTTTTTAAATAAATATTTAGCTCCAAAATAAATATTTTGCTAGCTTAGTGCTAGCTAAATATTTATTTAAAAAAACTAAATATTTAATTTGTAAACTAAATATTTAGCTCCAAAATAAACATTTAGCTAGCTTAGTGCTAGCTAAATATTTATTTAAAAAAACTAAATATTGAATTTGTAAACTAAATATTTAGTTTACAAATTCAATATTTAGTTTACAAATTAAATATTTAGCTAGCTTAGTGCTAGCTAAATATTTAGTTAGCAAATTAAATATTTAGTTTTTTTAAATAAATATTTAGCTCCAAAAGAAATATTTTGGTAGCTTAGTGCTAGCTAAATATTTAGTTTGTTAAATAAATATTTAATTTGGAAACTAAATATTTATCTCCAAAATAAATATTTAGCTAGCTTAGTGCTAGCTAAATATTTAGTTTGTTAAATAAATATTTAATTTGGAGCTAGATATTTATTTAACAAACTAATTGTTTTTCTAAAAAACTAATTTGAAAAATACTTTTTTGCAAAACTATTGATTCAACTAAAATGTAAACATTGAGGTATCCTTAGAAACATTTTCTAACTGTTTTGAATTAGTTTATTTTGAGTTCTTTATTGTGATTTAAATGGTTTAATCCGCTACTGACACAAACATCTTGTCTTTTACTAATAAATCAAATTTCCTACTAGTAATAAAATCATAAATAAAATAAAAATTCATTTTTATCAATCCTTCATTTCCAGATGAATTCATTCCGTTTGTCTGAAGTTTATTTTCTCTTTTCTCTTAAATCTCAGTCTGAATAATTCGGGCTCCTGTTGGTTCATTTTAAAGTTAAATATTTACTATTTCAGGAACCAAAGGATTTAAGTTCTATCTTTAAACGGAGAAGCAGAGCGTTTTTCTCCCAGCAGATGGCGCCGTTCACCAGCCGCTGCAGTGACCACCCAGCATCTGCTGGTCTTTAATGAGCCGGAGCTCAGCAAGCACACGGGGACAGTGGTCTTCCTCGCTCACCCTGTCTGAACCTGCGTCCCAGTCCCGCGAGGCCAGGGACTCCAGGGACCCCCGGAAGCTGTTGGTCCCCAGCCGGCCGGCCTCCCATCTGGACAGCCTGGGGCTGCTCTCCCCGGCCGAGCCGCCGCCTCCTGGACCGTTGGCCTCCCTGCTGCTCAGGCCGTTGGTTTTCAGCTCGTGGTTCATCAGCAGCTCATACTTTGGGTTGGGGGGGACGGTGGCTCTGGGGGTGGAGGGCTCCTCCTCTGACGGGCTGTCGGGCTGCTTGTTTGAATCGAATTCTGACTCCTGGAGGAAGAAGAGAGGATTCAGAGGGAGGCGGAGAAATACGGTGAAGGTTTGGAGGAATAAAGGCGTTTTATCAGATATTAGATAATTTAAAGGAATCGATCAGAAGAAGATTTAGAAAATTGAAGCAAACATGAAGATTTGAACCAAAGAGATTCTCAGGAGGAGCTGCAGAGATCCAGCCGAGCTCTGGCTCCCTGCAGCTCCTCCACATCCTGCAGGGTTAGCAGTTTGAGCCGTTTTCTATTTTCAGATGAAGGACTTTATTCTTTGGGACCTTCAAAGTGATTCAGGGATGATTTTCTAACAGCTTTGATCCGTCTGAAACATTTAATCCCATAAAAGACGTCAGAATGTTTGATGGAAGCAGGAAGAGAAAGTGAAACGGTTTCAGAGGCGATGATTGTTGGCGGGAAAATCAGATCAGAGGTTTGGAGCAGAATGATCGGAACGCTTCGACGGGGTCAGAGTCACATTTAGATTTTGCAAATCAGAGTTTGATGAAGCTGCCTGCCCCGCCGCCGTGACATCATCAGCCAGAAAGGGCGTCTGGATTCCTTGATTGGAAGCGGATCATCGGAGCGGATCTGATTGGATCCCTCGTCTCTTACCGATCCCATGCCAGAGTCGGCCATCGAATCTCTGCCAGACTCTGCCAGAGTCGCTGCTTTGTTCGCCGTCTTCTGGGCGCTGCCCTCTACTGGACAGTCGATCCTCGCCGTTATCTTGGAGGGTTTAACGGCCTTCTGCTCGTCTTCCCTGGATGGCGGCGCGCTGTCGCTCACGACACGCCGGCTGGAGCTCGGCGTGAAGAGACTCAGCTTAGGCTTGGGAGTGTGCAGCGCTTCCATGGAAACTGACCTTATGACCCGTCTGGGTCCAGAGTAAAGGCTCAGAGTGGAGGAGGACAGCGAGTACGGCGTCGGACCGGAGAACCTGCTGATCAGGCTTTGGACGCTGTCGGCCCGCCGTAGGTTGGAGCCGCGAGAGAGGCCGACGGCTGCAGACCTCTCCTTTGCTGCATCTTTACTGGGATTAGACTGGGAACGTACTGGGGATGACGGGCGATGCTGAAAAAGGTAAACAACAACAAATACCCCCAACAACAGACAATTAGACCTGGATTCTGATCTGATAAGAGTTCTGGGAAATATTAACCACCAATAGATTTTTACATGAGGCCAGTTTAATGTTAGCAGTTTGCTTCAGCGCTAACCTTCCCAGCAGCTAGGTTAGCGCTGGGAAGGTTAGCGCTGGAGCCACAGGTGCCTCAGTGGTCGATTGATGGACCCTTATCAGCATCTGGAGAACATCTGGGGGGGAAATATAGACCGAGCTCTCAGCTGTTAGGAAAGCAAACATCCAGCATTGGTGTTACGTATGCAGAGATACGCCAGTTACAACAAAAACCCCACAGCATGATGGTACCGCCTCCGTGCCTGAAAGGCTTAAAGCCTGGCAGCAGCTCCTCCACACATTCAGTGGACATCTTTTTCTGCTCCTACAGATTCATTAAGGATACGGAGTGAGTTTTCTTCCATTATTGTTGCAAGCAAAGAACATGATGGAAAAAATGGAAACATCTGAAAAATAATGGAACCAAATTCCCTCCATACTACTAAAATGTTTCACAATGAAAACAAAAAAATGGATGATTTAAGTGTTCATCAGACTTAAGGCATAAATGTTGCTTTATTCCACTTCATGATGTTAAAGAGATTTTTTATTTCTGGTATTTATCAGAGCTGTGAAACTGATCACCCCACAGTTGTTGATCAAGTCCCAGTGCTGTATCTGGTGTTTGTCAAAGAACACTACTGCCACCTACTGGTTAGTGACGTCACGCTGCGGTATCGGCTGTTGATCAAGTCCCAGTGCTGTATCTGGTGTTTGTCACAACGCGCTATTATCCAAGTCATCTTGAAAACATTCTTCTTCCAAATGTTGGCTACATATTACGGGTTTTTTCTCTGGCCAGAAGTTCGATGGCAAATCCTCCCTCTTCAAGTTGGCGATCCAACGACCAACCCGTCCGTGGAGGATCAGGAATCAGAAAGGTGGAATAACTCTTTTTTCCACTTTTCCCCGATGTATTCCAGCATCCAGCTGCCATGCACGTGGGCATTGTCAGTTTCACTATAGCTCTGGTGAATTTCAATGGTGAAGTCCTCTGGAAATCTTCAATAATTGTTGTTGATTGCAGATGTGTCTAGTAGTTCCCATTGATTTAGCTTGGAAAGCGGGGAGAATGGCGCTAGGCTTACCGCACCGTGACGTCACTGCTGGAAGATGGCAGGAGGGAGGGGCTACTATATTTGGGCAAAGATGGCCGCTCCCAGACTCAGTGATCGCGATGAAAATTATTTTTATTCTTTTACTGATTAACGCTAAATTCATTAAATCACTGTGAATGTATTAATTTTAGGTATAAATAATGATCTATTGATTATTCCTGCTGACGACTTTTCCTTTAATAAAACTTTCTTTAGCTCCATTAACTCTGCAGAATAAATTTGTGCTACATAAATTATCTGTAAGTGGAACAAACAGACAGTTTAGTCAGATGTTTTCTTACAAATAGAATCAAAATAAAATCCTAACTTGGATTAAACGTTTATACATCGGCGCAGCGACTGGATGCTACTGTTGCTAGCGTTAGCCGCCGCTCGCTACGTTATCGTCCAAAAATGTTCCTTAGATTTTAAAAACATCTCAGTAGAAGTTAGACTTCAGCAGTAAAAGTGTAAAAGTATCATTTTTAAAACGACTTAAAGTATAAAAATAAAAGTAATGTTAATTCCAGACGTTTTACTGCTCTACTTTAGTAAAGGAACATTTTCTCCAATTTTCTCCAATCCTGGATGAAAACTTCCTTAGACTTTCTTTTCTTAGTTTTATAACTAATGCTAACAGAGTCACATTGAACTTTGCATCATCTTATTTTGGTTTGTGGTGAGCAACTAGTTGGGGCAGCACCGAGTCCAACCACAGAGAAATTAATTATCTGGATGAAACTAATTATTTTGATGTTTTTATTTATTTTCTAATATCTACAGGCCAGAATGGAAATGAGCTTAAATGAAACAAAATAATGAGATTATTTTTAAATGTAAGGAGTAGAAAGTAAAAAGAAGTCAAATAATAATTACTGCAGTAAAGTGCAGATAGGCAGCATTTCTACTGTAGTAAATAAGTATTTTGTTATTTGAGTCGTTTGTGTTTAAGCGTTTATAATCTGACCAGAGCAGCAGAGGAAACGTCTCCTTGTTTAAAAGATGAAATTAAATTTCTGGCTGATTTTTGGACGGATCAGCTGAGCTGTGGAGGATAAACGCCGTGACCTGATGATGCTCGGCGCTCCCTGGTCTGTTTCTGTCTCCATGTGGCGTTCAGGCCGCGTGGCTGTCGATTGACACGACGCGTTCACTGCCGCGCGGATCCTGCCGTGTTGTGCCCTTCCATCCTGACATAAATCCCTCTTGAGAAACGGGAACATCTGCTCACGCATGAAAACATTCCCAGACCCCCCCGCCCCATAAACATGCAGCTTCCTGCTCTCTCACACTAATAAAAAACAACAACAAGCTATGAATGAATAAAAAACATTTCCTGATCCAAAGAAAGATGAAAATCTTCTCTGTTTTTGGGCTTTTGGCAGAAAATCGTCCTGTTGAATAAATCCAGCATTGATTAACGTTCATAACGAGGGAACTGATGCCACTTAGAGAAATGAAGTGGCCAACATCCAGGGGTTTAACTTTCCAGGCTCCGAGGTCCAAAGCAGCGACTGGCCTTAATCCGGGGCCTCGCCTGACCGCCTCCCCCAGGGACGGGGAGCTGAAGCAGGGCTGGGAGAGCAGCCAGGCTGGCTGGGAGGTTTAGGATCATGGCTAATCACTCTGGTATTAAACCGCCGTGGGATTAGCTCCAAGCTGATGACTTTTAAAGTTATTGTTTTTGCTCTGAGAGGTCAGGCTTCCTGAGCCCAGGAGAGCCGCAGAAAAGGCCAAAAACTGGAGGTTTGAAAAGGTTTAAGGAACTCTATTGTTTCTGCAATGGAGGGAAACGTTCAAGTTCTGTTCAAATGGAAAATAGAAAATCACAACAAATCTGGAACATTTTCTTCACAATATGGATAAAAAGAAATGTTTTCTACAAATAGGAAATGTGGAGTAAAACATTTTGAGGTATTTTTGTTCTAAACGAAGAGATAAGAATGATGAGTCACAGTTTCCTTCATGGCAGGAAGGGAAGGACGGCTGTTATTAGCAGATCCATCTGACCAGAGGAAGATAGATTAACCTAACAGGGAACGGCCCCGCCCACACAAAGTCAAAACGAACACGAAACGCTAATATTTTCCAGAACGTTTGTCGTAAAGACGGAGACATAAAATAAATGTGAGCGTCCACACGAATGCATGAAAACGCTGCAAAATGTATGCCAGGCCTGTAAGTGGCGCTGTGGTGCCAAAGCAAAAATAAGCGACGAAATGTTGGGCATGCGCACTAATATTTATACATGGTTGCCCTGCGGGTCCATTTTCGTGGTCAAATTCAGGTGCTGAACTATGTGGTCGATATTGCTCTGTTCTTCCTGGAGATATTCCAGAAGAAGAAGATTCTGTTGTAAGCCCGACAGCAGGGTGAGTAGCATGAGCAGCAACCATTCAACACAGTACGGCGCCATTGTTGCTGTGATACTGTGTCGCGCATGCGTGTTTAGAGGCGACGCTATGATGCATGCGTGTAAGAAAAAAAATGCGGTTAGAGCGTAAAGATGGAAACGCGAAAACGGCGTTTCAAAATCTTCCCACTCTGAAGGCTTAATAAAAAAAAGATCGTTTACAGACCCCCGAAACGCCGGCTTCATATGGATGAGAGGCTGGTTTGGTGAAAAATGTGTGCGTTTAGGCCAGGGTTTGACTTCGTGTGGACGGGGCCTGAAGCTGTTTTTCCTCCAGATGTTCAAGTGTGAGAAAGTTCTTTATGCAGGGGGTGGGTTGGTTCCCCTGGGGGGAGCGTGTGTTTTAGGATGTTGTAAGGTATAGATGCTGATGAAGATTCTCAGTCATCCAGGTCATAGTCATTCCGTAAAAGTTCAAAAAAATCCACTGGACTAGGTCTGAATAAATGTCAGACATTTTGAATTGAGAAAGCTTCCTGGAGGTGGAGAAACGTCTTCAAATCTTGGAAACCAAGTCCAGTGGATATTTTTGAACTTTTACGGAATGACTAAGGTATAAATGTTTGTGCTGAGGTTGCCTCAGTCACAGCTCTATCTCTCTGTCTGAAGAGGTTAAATACATTTAAACCTTTTTCTTACAAGCAATGCCTCAGCTTCCTATCTCCAGTCTACCAAATGTTAGGATTAATATTATTACTGATGATCTGTGAGTCTATTAAACCCTAATAATACCTGCCTGCTGCGTTTTCCCCAGTAGTTCCTCAGTCCGACTATATACAGCTATATTCTTCATTTTGTACGTGGCAAAGTATATTATATGTTGATAAGGCTGGAGCCATGGATGCCTCCTCATCTGCAAACGTCTAGAATGTAATGATGTCATGATTTGGCAGATTAGTGTATAAAATGCTTCCCTAACTGTGAATCTGTAGCCTCGTGAGACCATCCTGATCTCGCGAGCTTTCAAGGTTTCACTCGCAGATCAGTCTGGAGACTCTCCATTAAAGAAAACTTGGAGCCGTTCACCAAACGAACGTCCAATCAGCGTTGGCTTTGAGGCAGGTTGAGGTGTGACGCAACGAGAAGCGCGACAGTTCAGTCTAAAGAACATGGCGGCTTCAGCCGATGAAACTAGCGTTAGCGTGGCTATCGAGCAAGTTTTATGGGAATTACAGAGTATTTCTTCACTGAAAGAAGAGCAAAACACTGCTCTGGAGGCTTTTCTCAGAGGAAAAGATGTTTTTGCTCTTCTCCCGACTGGTTTCGGCAAGAGTTTGATCTATCAATTGGCTCCTCTTCGTCGTCGCTCTGTTAGTACGCCATATGCTTCGTTGATCTGATTGGTTTATTTGGCCCGTCTATCACCAACATAGGCCAATCAGCTAACCAGTATTTTCGCCCCTTCCCAAAATTACTTCAACGGAAGGTTTCCAGATGGATATTGCCTACTGGGGGGGTTACCATTAGGCAATACTAGGCAGTTGCCCCCAAGTTCCTGGGGGCCATAAACTCTGTTTCCATGTATGGTTAATACAACTATTCCTTATTCCTTATTGGGAGAATCTATTTAACCAGAATGGAGTCACTGTCCTCAGAACCAATGGAGAGTCGGCTCAACCGCAGCCGTCTTTATTAGTTCATAAACATCTTTAAAACAACTAAAATCAACAGTTATTGATTGAAGCGTGTGTTTCTATAGCAACCAGTCCCACAGTGACCTCTGCTATGGTCCCAGTTTGTTCTCACGCCCAGGATGGATCACTTTAAGCGCTTCTTAATTCAGCCCAGATTAAACCTATTAGATTAATAAGTGATTGAAATGATGAGATTATGCAGACAGAGGCTGAATGATGGAGCCCCCCCCCCCCCCCCCCCCCCCCCCCCAGCCTCTAACCACTTATTTACACCATTAAAGGAAACTCTGGATTAATGAATCAATTATTTAAGGGTCGGAAAAAAGCTGTAAGCTGACAAACCTGACATCTGTCAGCCTGCGACCCCCGATTCTAACGGGACGTGACCTAATTCCCAGGAAACCCGCGCATCCAGTGACTTCATGACAGCAAAACAGGACAACAGCTTCAAACACGCAAAGCGACACTTTGGTCAATTTCTGCTCACTTTGCTAAAACAAGAATGCAGATTAAACAATTGAAGTTTTATTTTCTTTAATCATTTTATTCATCTTTACAAGGAGAGATGTCTGCCTTTTAGCAGTTTAAAACATCAGACTTCTTTTCTGTTTTAAATCTTTTAATCTGCAAATATATGATGTCATAAATTGTGTTTGCATAAATCTGACTTTATAAAGTTTAACATGTTTAAAACTCCTAAAAGCAGCAAATGGTTTCATCCAAAGACATTCAGGTGAAATAAAACATGATGAGGTGGATAAATTCATCTTACTATTTTCTAAAGTGATTACTTTAATACTTTAAGTAGATGTTTGAGTAACTTTTACTTGTAGTTGAGTAAAATGTGACTATGAGTACCAATACTTTTATTGTAGTTCTACCGATGAGTACTTCATCCACCACTGCAGTTAACTGAAGTATCATTAGTTTAAGGTTTTGGTCCAACAGTTTGATTTGTTTTACTTTCTGCTTTTATCATGTTTCTTTATTTGCTTTATTTTTGTTCTATTTTATTGTTTAATTCTCCCTTTTCTATGTCTGCTTCTGTCTCCTTTAACCCCAGTGGGCCTCAGCAGATGGCCGCTCACACTGAGCCTGGTTCTGCTGGAGGTTTCTTCCTGTTCAAAGGGAGTTTTTCCTCTCCACTGTCGCTATAAGCATGCTTAGTGTGAGGGATTGCTGAAGAGTCAATGAGTCGATGCAATCAGCTGGTTTTCCTTAGATAGAAAACTTTGAATCAATCTGACTGGATGATCTGGTTGAACTGGATCTATAAATTGACCTGAGATGACATGATGTGAATTGGAGCTATAGAAATACACTGAATAGAATTCATCCATGATCTATGATCCTCCATCAAACTGGAAACTCTATCGCTGCATTAGAGGTTTTTTAAATCTGAGTTAATTTTCTTTCTTAACAAAGATGGCTTCCTTCCTCTCAAACAACCTGTCTTCTTTGTCCAAAATGTGAACATTCTTGTCCTCCAGAGAATGTCCTTCGTCCATCAGGCGTAGACGTAGCGCAGATTCTTGTCCAGACGCTGATCTCTGATTGGCTGCGTTTTGGCGCCACAGGCTGAAACGTTTTGGAGCTCCTGCTTTAACCCTGCAGAGCTTCAGGAGTGGAACCCGGAGTTTCCTCCCAATCAGCAGACGTTTCCAACATCTCTACAAAAATGAACCTTTTAGGGTGAAATCCGTCCCAGTTTGAGCGTCCATGCCAGCAGCCCGCCTGTCGCTGTGGCGACACCTGGGCAGGTTTCCCGTTATAATCAGACTCCAAAGCAGGTTTCTTTCCCCATCATTTCCCGTCGCCGCGCTGTCAGTTGATTATGGGATGTTTTCAGGGAGTGACAGACAGAGCCAGATGAGCAGGCAGATGTTTCCTCCAACTTTCTGAGGAAGACTGACAACAGCTGGACCGATGCCAGAGACGGCAGACAAGGACTGGTTTACAGAGCTGCACGCGGTCACATGATCAGCATCCATTAGCGGCGACCATCGAATGTGTTTAATGAAACCAGCCGAAGGAAACAGCAGCAGTTCGTTAAATGGTGCTAAATAAAATAAAAGCTTCACGGAATAAAATATATTTATTGTTTATTTATGGTCAAATTTCATTTAAAACTTATAGAAAGCCAAAATATTTCCAAAATTATTCTTTAAATTCAAATTTTTAAATGTGATTTAGTTGATTTAAGTATGTTTAAACCGATATAAAAAGGATTAAACATCATATTTATCAATTAATATCCAAAAGGCAGAGTAAATATAGTTTAAATGGATATTAAACATTAATAAAATATATTATTATTTATAAAATCCAGGTTGAGAAGTAAAGAACTGGAGCGACTAGTTTCTATAGAAGAATCCAGAGAACGAAATAAAAAAAGCTAAACTGATTATTGGGTTTAGAAAACATTTAAAAGACACAACATTAGTAAAATGTTCAGTTTAAATAGTTTTATTTCTAAGGTTAAGCTTTATAAATGAAATAAACTAAAACGTTCAGAGTAAATTTGAAGTAAATCTGGTCGCCTGCAGCTGAATTTAGCCTCATTTATATCAGAAACCGTTTTGAGCTCGATCCGAGCGCGGTAACCGCGGTAACTGAACTGGACCGCGCCAGACTCAACCGGACCGCACTAGCGTAGTACTAGTTCATCATCAGGGCTCGGCGTGAGCAGAACGCGTCATCGCCTGACAGTCAGCCTCCAGAATCAGGAAACTTCTTTATCAATATCATTTTATTTAAAACCATAAAAAATAATCAGATCTGATTTGATGTCACATTTCTGTAGAACCACTTTGTTTAAATTCTATTCAGTTTATTTCTATAGCTCCAATTCACATCATGTCATCTCAGGTCACTTTCCAGTTCACCAGATCATCCAGTCAGATTGATTCAAAGTTTTCTATCTAAGGAAAACCAGCTGATTGCATCGACTCATTGACTCTTCAGCAATCCCTCACACTAAGCATGCTTGTAGCGACAGTGGAGAGGAAAAACTCCCTTTGAACAGGAAGAAACCTCCAGCAGAACCAGGCTCAGTGTGAGCGGCCATCTGCTGAGGCCCACTGGGGTTCAAGGAGACAGAAGCAGACATAGAAAAAGAAGCATAGATACAAAAGGCAACTGTCAACCAGCTCCACAGGCGGCCCCGTCCAGGAAACACACAGCCAGGCAGACGAGCTCCGAGCCAGGAAATAATGTGGCTACGCTAGTTAGCACCTCCCACAAAAGGTTTAAAAAAATAAAGAAGAAAAGTTTAAACCAGATCTTCCAGGGAAACTTTTCTCTCTCTGTAGGAGTTCAGTGATTTTTCTACGCAGTAAAATCACGACTGAAACTAAGAGGATTTTCACAATCAACAGACTTTGATCTGGTTTCCGTTTCTCTTGTTGTTCTTCAAACGTTCTGAGTTTTGCTCTAATATCCTCCCAGATGTTCATAAAAACTCAAAGGTTAAAATGGTCGCTCGGTACCTGTTTAGACCAGAAGTTATCTACAGGAAACTTCTAACATTGAAGTTCTAGATGGTGAACTTTACCATGTTCTTCTCTGGCTCCGCCTCGTTCTTTCCTTGCATGCTTTCTGCACCTTCTTCACAGCTGAAGGTCTCCTCTGCGTCTGACCTGGAGGAGACGGACACTGAGTGATGGGGGGGGGTCTGCTGATGGTGACCCCCTCCAGGAGGTGGAGCCTCTTACCTGGACGATGCTCCGATGAGCTTCTCTGTGAAGCAGGCGAGTTTGTGAGCCTCTTCCTGGTACCTGAGCAGGTCCTTGGTCAGCAGGTTACGGAGCGCGCTCAGTGCCTGCTGCTGGAACACCAGCTGGTCGGACTGGATCAGACGCTCGGTTACGACGTCCTCAAGAAACTGCGACAAAACAGAAACGCTTTCAATCATGATAATATTCAGTGTGTCTCAGCCCCCCCCTTCAGTGTCCACCATATTGGATCAGTCCATTTGCTGCACATGTTCAGAAAGGTCCACACAGACAGCAGCAAACCATTTGAAAACAAACCATGCAAAGAGCAGTGTTGCCAACTTAGCGCTTTAGTCGCTATATTTAGCCACTTTTCAGACCCCTCTAGCACTTTGATTTCTAAAAAGCTCCTAGCGCCAAATCTAGAGACTTTTTTCTGCTACTGGAGACTTTGGAGACAACATCTAAAAGCAGCGAACTCTGCTCTCCAGAGCGAGTAGATTGGTAACCCCGCCTCCTGCTCTCCTCTATCTTGTCTGCTGTCATGATTCATGCAGCTATTATTTCATCCAAATGAAAAATGGAGAACAGATAAGCAGATCATGGCTTGTCTACAGTGAAAAGAAGGACTGGGTTATTTACTTTGGCCTTTTTGGAAACACAGGAAGGAGCAATCAGCTAAGTGAGCTTAGTGCTTGGAAAAAATCTTTCATTCCTTTAGAGACAGCATGAAAAGTCAGCTGAGTACAAAACATAGAGAGGAAAACAAGAAGAAAAGGGACAAGAAGAGAGGGACACAACCTAGAACAGATAATGGATGTCTATTCTATTAACATTTCTCTATCTGGAGAATGGGGCTGTTTATGTCTTCTCCATTCAGAGGGGCCCTGCCTGTCTTTGCCTAGGGCCCAACATTTCCTAAAGCCGCCCCTGCCTCAGTGTTTAAAGGTTGTCCCATCAGGACTTTAACCCCTCCAGGTTGATGATCCACTCTGACCCAAACTGTTGATCAGATGGGCTCTTTCTTAATATGGGTTGGAAGCTTTTTGATGCTTTCCTCCACGAATCAGAATGATGAAAATTATCTAAACTTCCTTTGGATAAATAGTTTCTGCTCCCAGCTGAAAGTAGAAAACAGATTCAACACTGTCCAAAGTTAATCAACCCCACAGAGTGGGAGAATAGAGATAGAATAAAGAGAATGATGAAAAAGGGGTCCCTATGTCCTCCAGCAGTCTAAGCCTATAGCAGCAGAACTATAGAGATAGATCAACCTGAGCCACTCAGTGAAATACTATAGAAAAAAAGAAATTCACATTTCCAGCCAATAGAGTTATTGGAATCCAGGAAATACCTTATTATGTTTGTAACATTAAAAAATATGGATATTTTGACGGCCAAAATGAATGTCAAAGTATGAACAAGAAACACAAACTTTATCGAAAATATTAAGTAAAATAACAAAAGTGCTTTTACAGGAAATTCATGAAAACATTTTTTTGGTCCAACATAAGCTTAGAGGTAATGTTGGATATTATTGTAATTAAATCAAGGCCTCGTCTATAAAGCCTCAAACTTACAGCAGATCCAGACATTTAAATTGAGAAACCTTCCTGGATGGGAAGCGAAACATCTTTAAACCTTGGAAACCAGGTCCAGTGGATTGTTTTGGTTTTATTTTACTTTTACTGAACTTTAGAGGCTTTAATGCTCATACTGGAGCTTAGATTTTTTAGTTTATAAACTTAAATATAAGTGTTAACTAGGCTTATTAACCTTTGAACTTTTCAATTAGCCTTTTACCTCTTCTTTCATCTTAATTCACAGTAGATAAAATATCTTTCACGGACTCATCTAACTCCATTTGTAAGGCGTCTGCAGGGGATTAAAAACATTAACCTGCTCTATAAAGGCTTTAAGAACTGGAATGTGGAGTAAATCATGATTCTTTTACTTCCTGGCATCTTTGATTAGAAAATAAAAGCTGGGAATGTTTTCTGCTTCTGTAAATTGGGTCACATGACTCAAAAGTCAGGAAGTAAACAAATCCGTCCACAGAAAACATTTTTCTAAAGCAAAGGTTTTCCAGAAAAGGTGAAATCTCCTGCGGGGACTTACGGCGGCGCTCTGAGGGCAGGAACTGATGGTCAGCTCTTCTCCTGAGCGTTTCTTCCTGTGCTGGAGCTCAGACAGCTCAGCAGTCAGCTGCTGCAGGCGGCCTTTGATCTCAGACAGTCTGACCAAACAACAGAGACACAAAGATTCAGTCCATAGAGCCGCAGCTCCTAGAAGCTCCTAAAACACCAACGCAGCTACGGACCACCGCTACCGCCAACATTTATTAAATGAGCTGACAAATACTAACAGGAAATGCAGGGAAGACCACAGCAACATAATAAAATAATACAGTAATGAGGACTAATTCTAACAAAATTAAAATCAATCCTCTGGACTTTGTTTCCAAGTTTGAAGACGTTTCTCTTCCATCCAGGAAGAATTTTCATTTCAAAATGTCAGAAATAGCGTTTAGTTCCAGGTTTTATCCAGCAGCCCAACAAAGCCTGGTTTTAGTTTAGAAAACATGCAAATAGAAACGGATGAACGAAGAGCCACCTCACTGTGCTGCTATTCCACATATTCCTACAACCAATAAATCATTTTAAAATCTAAAGTTGTCTGTTCTTTAAATTAAAACTGGAGCAAACTGATTATTCTCACACTTCAGCTTTTTTAAGGGGGGAGTAGTTCCCCAGCTGTCCACCAGGAGGCACTGGACGTCCGTCAGACGACATTAGAGGAGCTGCAGCCAAAGTGTTTTGCTTGTGAGGAGGAAGAGGAGGATTGATGAAGCTCAACAGTCATCAGAGCAAATTATTGCAAATGAAAATATAGAAAAACAGAAAGATCTCTGCGTTCCGTTAATGAGATCAACGAGGAGAACCGACACCTGAAGGACGTTTGACGTCTGTGTTTGGTGACGTAGAGCTAGAACAAACAGAAATAAACACTCCATCTACTCCTCATTCTTAATGAAAAATGCATCTCTAGGATTTCAGTTCTGCTTGTCTGCAGGCGACGTTTAAAATGACAGATTTGGACTAAAGTCATCAGGGAGATTTCAGCAGATAGAGAGGAGCTTCCTGCATCATCTCCACTGTTTCCACCACAGCGGAGGATCATTCCAGACAGGTTCCTACTGGTGCCTTCAGGTGACCGTACTCAGGATCAGCATCACGGCTCTCCAGGAAGATCATCAAACGTATTCACCACCCAGTGAGGAGGTTCAAACATCTTCATATCCTAGATCTGCAGCTTCTATCTGTTAGAAAGTGATAAAGCGGAGGAGGACAGAGGCGTAGCCAGAACTTTTCTATAAGGGGCAATAACCGATGGACCAACGGGTGGCCGGAAGTGGATCCTCACCGTCAATCTACGCTGTTCCAACAGGAAGTTAACAAGCAAAATGTCCATATTTTCTAAAAAACTATAACATCCCATTGCAACGGAGTATTAGGGCCAAGCAAAAAAAAAAAAAAATTGTTTTTAATAGAAGAATAAAGTCATAATTTAATGAGAATAAAGTTATATTTTATAACAACTCTTCCCAGAAGCCCTTTCTTCCCTAAAATGAGGAATGTGGAGCATCATGTGAAGTTCTACTTTAGCATCGGTTTGATAAATCACGAAATCTTTTAGCAGCAGCATCAAACTGGGCAGGATGTCAAAGTGGACTCTGGTTGCTGATTGGTGGAGCTGGTCTGATGTCATCTGCTGGGCGGAGCTCCAAGCTTTGTATCTGAAACGGTTTGTTGTTTGATGACTTTATTCCCGTAATAAATAAATAAAATCTCTAGCCTGGCCCTGATTCTCTGTCATATCCTTCAGCCTTTGCTAACAAATAGATTCATATATTTAAACATTCCTGCTTTTAGATAAAAGGTATAAAGGATAAAATTCTGTCAGGTTTCAGTTCAGGGTGAACATTGTTTCTATTGTCATTATTTACCTTCCTTTATCAGTAATCATTCTGCATAAAATGGATTTTTACAACTACTAATATCTACATAAATTGATAATTTAATAAGCTATTATTAAAGTATTTATTTAAACCTCCTAGATGACTTGCAGAGAAATCATTTTCTCTTTATCCCATAAAAGACACAATCTAGTTCTGAAAATAGCAGGAATTCTGCATTTATCACCTTTAATGTTAGTATAATAATTAGCATAATTAACTGCAGTGTTTCTGTTGTCATGTAACTGATAATGTATGAAAACTGTAAATGTTTTTAATATTCATTTGAGAGTATTACTGCACTGGAAAAATGATCTCGAAATAAGTAAAAGTGTCTTAAATTAAGTGTTTTTACCCTTTATTTGAGCAGGTAAATGAGATAGTTTGCCAATGGAATTAGTATTTTTACTCTTAAAATAAGATAATGAGATAATATGTACTTGAAATAAGACAATGCAGTTTTGTTTTCTTATTTCAAGCGTAAATGGTCTAAATCCTCAATCCAATAACAAATGCACTTGTTTAAATGACTTATCTAGATTTTGATTTTTTCCAGTGTGCTGTCACCGTCTGTATTGGAGGGAGAAAATATGGTAGGGGTGGCCAATGATTGGCCATGGCCACCCCTGGCCTCCATGTAGCTCCGCCCCTGAAGGAGGAGGAGGCCGCCTCTGGTCTAAAGGTCAGATAGATCAAAAGCCAGACCCTGCTCCCTTAGATGCTCTTTAAAAACACAGCATGATGCTGCCACCACCATGCTGGACAGCAGGCAGCTTCCTGATTCCTCCACACTTACAGGTGTTTCCAAACAGCTAGGCCCTTACAGGCTGGTTCTTTAGTCCGTTTCTAGCTGCTCAGAGGCGGACTGCTTCTGCTTCTATAGATCATCGACTTCAGCCGAGACTAAAGTCTGAAGACGAGGAAAGCAGAACATCTGGGTCCATCGGTTCCAGACCGGACGCCATGGTGGGTGGTCCTCGCCCCGCTCCCAGTCATCTTATTCCTGATTTAGGTGATGAACCGAGGCGACGCGACTGCAGCGTAAAGAACCGCAGAACATCTGAGGGAAGCAGCTGAATGCTGGGAGCTAATGCACCCCGCCTCACCAGACCCAGCATGATGCTGCCACAGCCGTGCAAAACAGCAGGACCGATGGTAAACCCCAGCATGATGCCGCCACAGCCATGCAAAACAGCAGGACCGATGGTAAACCCCAGCATGATGCCGCCACAGCCATGCAAAACAGCAGGACCGATGGTAAACCCCAGCATGATGCCGCCACAGCCGTGCAAAACAGCAGGACCGATGGTAAACCCCAGCATGATGCTGCCACAGCCGTGCAAAACAGCAGGACCGATGGTAAACCCCAGCATGATGCTGCCACAGCCGTGCAAAACAGCAGGACCGATGGTAAACGCCAGCATGATGCCGCCACAGCCGTGCAAAACAGCAGGACCGATGGTAAACCCCAGCATGATGCCGCCACAGCCGTGCAAAACAGCAGGGCCGATGGTAAACCCCAGCATGATGCCGCCACAGCCGTGCAAAACAGCAGGACCGATGGTAAACCCCAGCATGATGCTGCCACAGCCGTGCAAAACAGCAGGACCGATGGTAAACGCCAGCATGATGCCGCCACAGCCGTGCAAAACAGCAGGACCGATGGTAAACCCCAGCATGATGCCGCCACAGCCGTGCAAAACAGCAGGACCGATGGTAAACGCCAGCATGATGCCGCCACAGCCGTGCAAAACAGCAGGACCGATGGTAAACCCCAGCATGATGCCGCCACAGCCGTGCAAAACAGCAGGACCGATGGTAAACCCCAGCATGATGCCGCCACAGCCGTGCAAAACAGCAGGACCGATGGTAAACCCCAGCATGATGCCGCCACAGCCGTGCAAAACAGCAGGACCGATGGTAAACCCCAGCATGATGCCGCCACAGCCATGCAAAACAGCAGGACCGATGGTAAACCCCAGCATGATGCCGCCACAGCCGTGCAAAACAGCAGGACCGATGGTAAACCCCGGCATGATGCCGCCACAGCCGTGCAAAACAGCAGGACCGATGGTAAACCCCAGCATGATGCCGCCACATCCGTGCAAAACAGCAGGACCGATGGTAAACCCCAGCATGATGCCGCCACAGCCGTGCAAAACAGCAGGACCGATGGTAAACCCCAGCATGATGCCGCCACAGCCGTGCAAAACAGCAGGACCGATGGTAAACCCCAGCATGATGCCGCCACATCCGTGCAAAACAGCAGGACCGATGGTAAACCCCAGCATGATGCCGCCACAGCCGTGCAAAACAGCAGGACCGATGGTAAACCCCGGCATGATGGCGCCACAGCCGTGCAAAACAGCAGGACCGATGGTAAACCCCAGCATGATGCCGCCACAGCCGTGCAAAACAGCAGGACCGATGGTAAACCCCAGCATGATGCCGCCACAGCCGTGCAAAACAGCAGGACCGATGGTAAACCCCAGCATGATGCCGCCACATCCGTGCAAAACAGCAGGACCGATGGTAAACCCCAGCATGATGCCGCCACATCCGTGCAAAACAGCAGGACCGATGGTAAACCCCAGCATGATGCTGCCACATCCGTGCAAAACAGCAGGACCGATGGTAAACCCCAGCATGATGCCGCCACAGCCATGCAAAACAGCAGGACCGATGGTAAACCCCAGCATGATGCCGCCACATCCGTGCAAAACAGCAGGACCGATGGTAAACCCCAGCATGATGCTGCCACATCCGTGCAAAACAGCAGGACCGATGGTAAACCCCGGCATGATGCCGCCACATCCGTGCAAAACAGCAGGACCGATGGTAAACCCCAGCATGATGCCGCCACATCCGTGCAAAACAGCAGGACCGATGGTAAACCCCAGCATGATGCTGCCACATCCGTGCAAAACAGCAGGACCGATGGTAAACCCCAGCATGATGCCGCCACAGCCATGCAAAACAGCAGGACCGATGGTAAACCCCGGCATGATGCCGCCACATCCGTGCAAAACAGCAGGACCGATGGTAAACCCCAGCATGATGCCGCCACATCCGTGCAAAACAGCAGGACCGATGGTAAACCCCAGCATGATGCCGCCACATCCGTGCAAAACAGCAGGACCGATGGTAAACCCCAGCATGATGCCGCTACAGCCGTGCAAAACAGCAGGACCGATGGTAAACCCCGGCATGATGCCGCCACA